TGTGCTAAACAAACCTCTGCCCCACAATATTGGACTGGGCAAAGACAGAAAACAAAGCAGCCTTAGATGCTGCTTAGCATTTTAAGAAGCAGACCTGGACAGAAAAGAATTGCAGATACACAATAGAACAGATTCAGTCATAAATGACCTCTAAATGAGACAGTGTTTAAAAAAATTTATGTGGCTTGGGTGAGAGAAGAAAAAGTGTAAAGAGACAGTAAATGTAATTTAAAAGAGTACAGGCAGTTATAGACTAAAGGAGTAAAGATAATAAAATAGATATTAAACTTGTAGAAAAAATAATAGAGAAAAGAAAAATAAGGCACGTAAAGATGGAATATAAACAGTGTCTAGATTATGTATATTATTGTGTTTTCTTTGAAATTTTTGACTGTGAAGGAGGTAAGTAACCGACATATATACTTTAAAGGTATCTTGTCTTCAAAATTTGTGTCTAAATATATGTTGCTTTGAAAAAAGAGGTTCTTCTTTTGTTTCCACAGAGGATGAGAACCTGTGGAATCATTCCAGGCTAATGTGGTTTGATGGACCAAGACACCATGAAAGGGCACCGTGAATACCCCCTAAAAAAAATACTTTGCCCAACAAAAAGCAGGAAGCAGTTTGGAGACAACTACACCCATATTCCAAAACATTGTTTATAAATGTATGTTTATATTAAAAGGGGATATGCTATAGAGAGTTGCATTAGTATGAATCTTGGTATATTGATACAGACACAAATTTAAGGTCAATCTTGTTATATATATATATATATATATATATATATATATGTGTGTGTGTGTGTGTGTGTGTGTGTGTGTGTGTGTGTGTGTTTGTGTGTGTGTGTGTGTGTGTGTGAATAAGGTATTGTGTTTGGGAAGCTCATTTAAAAACATAATTTATAATTAAGAAATACAGGTTAATAGTCATGCTTGTAGTCATATTAGTTAGGTTTTCTAGATATATAGTGATAAACTTCAGTTAGATAGGTATTCTTCAAATCTTTCAGAGACCTTCAGAATATGGCATTTATAATATTTTAATAACTTAGGACTTTTTATGACAATGAGACACATCTGCTCCTGACAACACCAATTAATTCAAGAAGAAGATGGGCATCAAAGAAGCTCCTTATTGTGTTTGCTAGCTATTTGGGCAAGAAACTGCTCTTACATGTACTGCTTGGCTGCTGAACTTGCCTAACTTTAATACAATCCTTTGGGGTTCCTGTTTCATGAATGAGTCTGCCAGACATTCTGCAAAACACAGAAGAATGTGACTGACAAACTGCCAATATAGGCAGAACTGTTTTTGAAATTTCCTGCTTCATGGAAAAGTCTCCTGGACAGTATGAGCCTGTAGGCTGAAGACTAGATGCCCCAATGGAAGAGATAAACTTTGGGTGACTGCTCAGGCAGTGAGATGTCTCTGTCAATTCTAGGGTTTTGCAAGTTCTTACAATTCACTTCCTGTTAACTTAGGTAATATATCATTCTGGAGTCCTTGATGAAGTTGAAGAATAGTTATCGTTTTCCTTAGTGATGACAAAAGATAAAATAGATATAAATATTATAACTGTAATTCTTCCCTGATACCTGTTTTGTTATATGTAATTTTTCTGTGTTCAAGTTAAAACCTTCCTTTTTATTTAAACAGAAAAGGAGAGGTGATGTGGGATTCCCGTCTTTATGCTATGAATACCATTGGTTAATAAAGAACTGTCTTGGGCCTGTGCAGAGCAGAATACAGGTAGGTATGGAAAACTAAACTGAATGCTGGGAGAAAGGAGGTAGAGTCAAAGTGAGAAGACATGTATCCCTGCCAGAGACAGACACCACCAGAGACAGACACTAGAACTTTACCTGCTAAGCCACAGCCTCATGGAGATACACAGATTAATAAAAATGGGTTAAATTAAGATGCAAAAATCAACCAATAAGAATCTAGAAATAATGGGCCAACCAGTGATTTAATTAATACAGTTTCTGTGTGGTTATTTTGGTGTTGAGAAGCTGGGAATGAACAAGCAGCCTCCTACAACAGCTACCAGCACTGTGTTCTCAGTGGCTGAGGAGTTTCACAGCCACATCCCATCTGAGATGTAAGATGCCTCCTTGCCACTGTGCTTTTGTGATTCTGTGAAATGCATGTTTAATACTATTATTAGGGCCTATGAAATTGATAACTTATCTGTATGTCAATATAAACTAAAAGCTTTGTGGAGAACATCCCTTCTTTTCTTTTTCACCCAAGGATTAAAGGAACATGCAGGAGGAACATGTTCAAGTCATTTAGTTTGTTCTACCCCTCAGATCCAATCAGCCAGTTTTTGCCTGCTATAACAAGTCTTTCTGAACCCTGAGAGGTTTAATGGGGCTTAACCCCAAAATAAACCTCAATAAATGGATAAAGGAGTTTGATTAGTCTGTGATTGCAAGTATAAGTGGTCAATTTGATGGTATCTAGAGTTGCATGGGGGATGGACATTTGGGCATGTCTTTGGAGGATTATCTTAACTAGATTAATGGAAGTGGGAGACATGCCCACGGTGAGAGGCACCATCCCCTAGGCTGGAGCCTTAGCCTGATGACATGTAAAGGGGAAAGTGAGCTGAGTGCAAGCACACATTGCTTCCTGTTTCTTTACTATAGAAGCAGTAGGACTGGAGCCTCCAGGCTCTTGCTGCTGTCTTTCCTGATGAGATGGGCTGTAATCTCAAGATGTGAGCCAAAATAAGCCCTTTTCTCTTTAACAGAAAAGGTAATGAAGACAGGCTCCAAACACAAAGGAATTATAATAAAACAGAAGTGTTAATTTGACTGATTTGATCAATACAATGTGTTGAAATATCACAAATTCACAGTAAACAAAATGTCCTTGTTCAAGAAGCTAGAAATGTTAGCTGACTTGACCATTATATCTTACCTGCAGTTTCTGAATTATTATGTAGCACCCTATAGCTGTGGGCAACTGAAATAATTTTAAAGCAAAAATAAATAAAGAAAATTATCAAGAGACCATTCTTGTGTGCTGTGAGAACACAGTAAAGAAACTACCCAAATGGCCATTGCGTATCTAGGGACAAGATTTTCTTGACAGAGAGAGGAGAGAGAGAGAGAGAGAGAGAGAGAGAGAGAGAGAGAGAGAGAGAGATTGAGATTCAGAGCAGGGAGAAAGGAAAAAAGCAGACTAGCCATGTTCAGGGCAAGAGAATCATGGTGTGGAAAAATTTTAGGAATATAAGGACAATGAGCAGCTGAGGGGAAGTAGCCCTGTAACCTGGAGCAGCCAGGAAGTCTAGGGTAGAGGAGGAGGTGAGAAGGATCAGCTAGTTCATTTCAAGGATATGTTCACCATGGAATGGAAAGCAAAGATGTGCTACATTGGGAAAATATTTCCACTCTTGTTTCCAGAGGAAAAGAATAGCTATGGATACCATAAAAAATAATAAAGATTTGGTTTAAAAAGAGAAATCTCTTGAGAAAGAGAAATGACAGCCCATCCACAGAGGGGACAATCCTACAGGTGTAAGGAAACCTCATAAGGGTTGGAGCAAGGTTCTGTTCTTGTCTTTGCAGGAAAATACCTATTTTCAAAAAGTTGAGAGACCTTGGACATCTAGATGCCTAAAGAAGAAAAGATAGCTATCCAAAAGGAATCACCAAGCAGAGAGAAATCTGATTTATGGTAACATATCATCTTCAGGGCAAAATTTCACTACCTAAACATACACATCTCCCTACTTCTTAGTAGAATGATAGTTGTGACTATCAACGCTGACTTTGAAGTTGGACAGTCACTATCCTTCTCTAAATCCAATAGTGTTGTAAAAGAAAAATCCAGAGTTTCTTTCTCATATCAGGAACCATCTGGTATGAAACAGAAGGAAGATAAAATTTAGGAAAAATGCTGCTTCTCTCCATACCTTTCACTGAATATATCTCTATATTAATAATTTTAAGTTTTCCACAATGAACAACGAATTTTCTGCAGTAATTTTTAATGTTTCCAGGAAGAAGATAGGGTTCCACAACAACAATTCCACCTGGTTTTATGATGTCATTATGCTGATAGCATCACTTTAAGATTGGTTTTGGGTTATAACCTGCTCAAGATGATTCCAACTTGGCTAGCTGAGATGGTGCACCTGCTTACAACATTCTGGCCAGAACTTCAAATAAGAACTTCAGAAAAACCCAACCTACTACTCAGAGACTATCTGAAATTTCAACAGACAGTAATCTCGAAACTTAATGATCACTTTATTTTTTACAGGATCCCATAGAAATAACATCACCCCCATGACAGCTAAAAGTAATTCTAAAAGTCATGTCATTTCTCACAACAAAGTTTGTGCTGAGGGTTAGGGACATCTATTAGTGGTTGGCTATAAATGGTATAGGGTTGGGGTTGGAAATTAAGTAGGCTCAGGGATCTCTTTTGAAAAAACAAGAAAATAGGGATTGGATGGAATAATAGGTAGATTAATGTGAGCTTAATCATACTACTAATAAGCAGTAGTAATAGTAAGAATACTTGTGAGCTATTATTTATAGATAATTATATTATTTATAGACAATTACAATTTACATTGGTATAGATTCTTGTATATTGATACAAATTCAAATTATATTTGTCATATTGAATATGCTCCTATTTCTATATACAATATTTGTGTACCTATGCAAAGTTATTTGTATGCATGCATGCTTCTACATCTGCTTAAGATATTTTGTATATTGATGCAATTTTAGAATATATTTATCACATTACACTATACATTTCTACCTCTGAACAAGATACTTATACATTATTTACATTTTGAGGTCATTGTCCTCATTTGCTGCACTTTTATTTAAAGATTGTTTAATATTTTAATACAAGGCTTAATCTTTAAGCTATAAGGGTATTAAAAATTATATATAGGTCAATAATTATCCATAGTTGTCATACTTATAGTTAGGCTAATCAAGTTCTTTAGATACATAGAGATTGTATTCCACGTAATTAGGTAATCTTCAACCACTTCAAAGAGTTGTAGAATATGGCATTTAAACAACTTAGGGTTCTGTTGACATGAGACATGATTGTTTTTGGCAGCACCCATCTCTTCCCTAGAAATATTGGGCACTAAAGACATTTCACTTGGAGCTTGCTTTCTTCTTGGCAAAACTAGCCTTTGGGCAAAAAAATCACTGTTGCCTGAACACTGACAAAATCCACGGAGTCCAGACTAGACTAGTAGAATACAAGCAAAATGACTGCTAAACCTTGCCAAGAGAAGGTAAGATGGTTTTTTTGAATTTTTCTGTGTCTGAAAATGGTCTGTCTGTTACTCTAGGCCTTAGCCAACATTGATTGCCCCAATGTTGCAAATGAGACTTTGGGTAATTGCCCAGGTAGTAAGTTGTCTCTGTCATTTCTTGCACCTTTTAGAAGTTGCTTGATTACACTTTCTGTTTACTCAAGTAATATTGTTTCCCTTCTCAGGTCTTCAGTGGGGTTGAAGACTTGATAGTCATCGTTACTTTCCTCTTGTTACTTAACCAAGCTATTTCTAATATAGGACATAGACTTCTTAGGATAGGATAATTATGGAAACATTTAGCATGTATTTCTTGCTTGATCTTGTTCACGCTGATTGTAATTCTAACTTTTATACTTGATATTTTTTATTATTGTATATAGTTTTGCATTAGGCTTAGAATTTTCTTATGTAGAGAAAAGGGTGAGGTACTGTGGGAACTCCTTCAGCCAATAACCTTTAAGATACTGGCCCACTTTGGGTGTGGTCTCATGTACTATAAATGCAGATGTAAAAGTGTGTGGAGACTCCCTTGGCTGATGGGTTCAGTTTCAGTTCCCAGTGCATGTAGAGGACTGTGGATCACTACTCTTTCTATGAGTGAACCCCCTAACCTTTGTTATACTCCATTCCGAGCTAGTGTGTAGCTCCTTTTTTATGGCAACAGGAGGCAGGTGGGGACTTTGAAATTTATAACAGGTTTATGTGAGTAGGGACTGAAGGAGTCTGGAGGCTTACATGGACTTTGATATGTAACCACAGGTATACTCAAGTGAAGTGGCCTTTCTGGCAGACAGAAACCTTTTACACTGGTTCCCAAGGAAGAGTGATTATTGTCTTTTATCTCTATGCAAACAATCCATTTATAATCTAGCTTGAGCTGAGCCAAGACTGTTTTTCCGGACCTAGTCAGTGGGCCTGCCCTCTGGGTGTGTTTAAAGATTTTCCCCTTGGACCTAACACACATCTTTAGGTTAGTGGGTCAGTGTGGGCCAATGAGGGGAAGGCAGTTATTTCACAGAGTTCTTTATTGTCATTCCCACAGACCAAGAAGTTAAGGTCCTTGTGAGAAAGAAAACATAGTGAGGGGAAGGAATTCTGTTTTCTGTTAACAGATTTCTACGCCTCTGCATACAATGGCTTCATTGGACAATAAACTAAATTTTTCCCATCGGAGAATCAGCACTCACCTCTCACAAAGCTTTTTTCCTCTGCTGAAAATGTAGAAAATAATTAAATGTAGTTTTGACACTTTTCTAGAAAAAAAGAAAACTCAGGGTTCCCCAGTCGAATGCATGTCCCACTACTCCAATGAATGTAATTAAGACAATCCTCCAAAGGCCTGCTGCCAAGCCTTCCCCCATTTCTTCCCAGAAAGGTTGGAGGAGGCTATTTCTGCAATCGGCCTGATCGTGCTGTTTTATGGAGGAATAAAGAAGACTGAGAATTTGGACAAGAAAGTGGTTAGAAGCGGTAATCAAGGTTTAATGGGCTGATGGAAGCTGGGAAAACAGTGGTGCTGAGAACAAAGTTCACGGTGGAGGTCCAGCTCAGGGGGTTTCGCAGGGGAAGCATGTTGTCAGCGGGGCTAGAGGCCATTCTTGAGATATTTAGTTATTTTCCTACATTTTTGCCAACATTTTTACCATTGCTTTTTCTAGTTTGCTTGAATTTGTGTTAGCCACTGTTACTTGACTAAGATGGGATCTCAAAGCAGTTTTATTTCTCATTTCTCTGATTAGTAAGAATGATAAACCCTACAAATATTTGTTGGCTACTTGTATTTTTTTTAATTCTTGGTTAAGTTCATTGCTAATTTACTGGTTTGTTTTTTAAATTCTTCAGTTTTTTTTATCTATTCTAAATACTAACTCTTTATCTGAAAAAGAGTTAGCAAAGATGGACTCTTATTCTGTAGCTTATCTTTTCACCTTATTAATTTCTCTTGTTATGAGGAAACTTTAAATTTCACGCATCCCACCTGTCGATCTAGGGGCTTCATGCTGGGCTTCTGGGTCTTATTCAGTTTATTTCCCGTATTTACAGCCTGAAGTATTTTCCCTTTATTTCTTTCCAGCAATTTCAGGTTTTGAATTAAGGCTGCTGATTCACTTTGAATTTATTTTCTGTGAAAAGATTAAATATGGATCTAATTTCATATTTTGAAGGCAGACAGCAATTTTGCTAGTACAATTTACAGACAGGCTGTATTTTTTCTGGTGTATTTTTCTTATATCTCTGTTGAAATTTAGGTGCACAAGACTGTGTGGGTTTGTTTCTAGGTCCTCTATTGTGTTCTGTTGGTCTGTAGAGTTGCTTTTATTCTGGTATCATTTCGTCTTTGTCTGCATCTTCCCAGAATCAGTTTCAAGGTATCTTGTGTACCCTATGTCCATGCACACATGCGGCCCCTCATTCCCAACATCCCCTGTGGAGAGGGACCGTTGTTGCCATGGATCATTCTATACTTACGTTCTATGATCATGCAAAACCCATAGATTGCATGAGACTTCACACTTGCTAGTGCTCGCTGTGTGGATTTAGGAAAGTGGGTCCATGTGTCCACTCCTATTTTCACTGTCCTAAACCACCTCTGCAATCTGCCTGTGGAATGCTCTATCCCCATCACAGGTTTAAAGAATTTTTTAATATTTATTTATTATGTATACAATATTCTGTCTGCATGTATGCCTGAAGGCCAGAAGAGGACACCAGACCTCATTACAGGTGGTTGTGAGCCACCATGTGTTTGCTGGGAATTGAACTCAGCACCTTTGGAAGAGCAGGCAATGCTCTTAACCTCTGAGCCATCTCTCCAGCCAGGTTTAATGAATTTAAGGTAAAAGAAGGTAAGAGAATTTCCACAGTTTGCAGAAGAATAAACAAATGAGGTTGAATTTGTCACAGATTCTTATTAAGAAACACAGAAAATAGGGGAGAAAACAAAGAAAAGTAAATGTCAATCACTCAAAGAATTCAAGGCTCCTTGTGAGAAAAGGAACAGTGTACAAAGAAGTTCCTCCACTATTAAATCTATTCCTTGGCCTCTCTTCCCAATGACTTCATTGAAGAATAAACTAAAATGTTCTCCACTAGACACATGTTTTATCTGTCAGAATTTGGCTATCATTTTGCCTTAATAATCTACTGAGTAAAAGGGAAAACATGATTACTGATATGCCTGTCACTACGCAAGAGCATCCCGTGTCTGGCAAGAATGAGCATGATCTCCATCTCTCACTTTCTTTGAACATTGCCCCTCCCCCAGGCATCCCTATATAAACATCTTTTAGTGCTGAAATAGGCAGGTCCCTTCGGAGTTCCGACTTTATCACGCCGAAATCTGAGAGCGAGAAAGAGTTGATTGACTCACTCACCGCTAAGGCATCTTCTTAGCTCCAGGGAAGAAACGTGGCTGGGTTCATTGCTGATCACAGTCATCGTTTCTTGTGGAAACATGCCTTCTGGAAGCACTGTCTGTCAGGAAAACTCAGTTACTCTCATCTTGAAGCTTTCTTAGGCCAGTTGCATCTGATACGCAGACAGATAAAAGGAGGCAGCCAAGAGGTGAACAAACTCAAGTGAGTGCACGGAGCCCCGAGCCGTCCTGCGTGCATTTCTTTCAGCCGCCCCTTTCTGATTTCCCACTGGACAGTCCAAAAGTCCTAGAGATGTAGACAGCTATTTCAGGAGGCTAGCAGTACAGACATTTGGAAATTTGAATCTCCCAAATGTGATCTGCCCCCTATCTTGTGTTATTCTCTACCAGAATCCTGTTCATTATTTGCTTAGTTCAGAAAAGAAGGGTCCTGTGAAATATCCTTGATGCTCCCCGTGGTCCCTGACCTCAAGCAGACATCACATATGGTGAGGAGAGTAGATGCTTTCATGCCATCCACGGAGATATCTGCTCCACCACTCCAGACTACTGCTGATGTGTGTCTGAGAATCTTTCTGCTAGTCCATTTAGAACTCCATTCAAGGTCTTCCTGTACCAACTGTATGGGGTCTCCCTTCTGAGAGAGCGCCAAAGAATCACTGATAAAGAGATAAAAATTATTGCTTCCACTTCTTTATGTAATTCTTTCTGTGCAGTTCTAACATTCACTCCTTTCTGCAAACAAGATTGCATCATTCTCCACTGGATTAAAAAACAATAGGTGTAAGTGTTGATGGTGTTCAATACAAAGAGTAAAGTTGTGACCTTTAATTCCAATAGTGATTGTCTCTGCATATTTATTATAATTTATCAGCTTGTTTTCTCAAAATATACAAGGTAGATTAGTAAAGTATAGATACTATAACAAAATAAAGGCCAACATAGAAATCTTTATAAAGTAAAACCCAAGTTAGAAAATAAATCTAACCAAAGGAAATGTATTACCCATAATTCAGCAGAGAGACTCTATATAATTTCTACAAGTAGGTTTTGCATGGGGTTCTAAATAGATGAGGAGAAACATTTTTAGATGCAGATCATTGGCGAGGTGAGGCCATGGCCAGGTGGGGAAAGCTTGAGGAAACTATGTTCCTGATAATGAGACCAGAGATATGGATTTGTGGATCTTGAGAAAGCACACATGTTGTGATAATGGATAGTGTTCTTATAGTAAATATAAATACTAGATATAATGCAACCTCCTTTCTTATGGTGTTCACATAGCCATGTACACCAAGCTCAGAGCATGACATCAGTTCAGTCTCTACATGCCTTGGTGGGATGGAGTAGTCTCTTCACCTCTGGCGAAGGCAAGGGGCTGAAATCAACCTCTCCAGAGTAGAGTGTTACATACTTTTGGGGGGACAAGGAATGGGTTAACAAACATTTATGAAGCTTCACCACAGTAATTGGACATGTCTCTTCATTTACCTTCAGGTATTCAGTTAAATATTCAAAGTGCAACTCTTGAATGATTTTATAAAAAGGGATATGCATGTATACTTTAATTAAATTAGTTCCAACTATGAAAGCATCTGAG